GGCTGTTGTCGCCCTGTTGATGACGTCAGTGACGCGGTTTAATCGGTCGCGGCTTAGTCGAGCGCGGTTTTGACGGGTCACGGTCTACTAGATCTGAGCTGCAAAAAAATCCAGATAATTGTTAGATGGTAGCAAAGAAATGCAGAAAACTCATATTCTTTGCTATTAATTCACGGTCATCCAAATTTTTGCATCAAGATCCTGAAGACTCAATGTATCTCTTTGGAAATGGTGAACATTTGCAATCTGAAACCTTCCCATCTATCTATCTATCATCCATTGAAAACAACAATGGATTTTTTTAATGTTCCTTACCTCTGTGCCTTGTCTGACTGTGTAGTTCTAAATCATACCAAGAGAAATCTGTAAATGGTGCATCCCTAAACACCACCCATCCAAAGGAAATCTTGAATTTCGAATACTAATAGCTCTTGAGACAGCTGCCCCCCATGATTACTCAATCCCTCTTTAAAACTAGAAAACAAACCATATACAGCTCATTGGAAATTTGTTACAGATTAAATGGGTTATTGTATGACTATATGCAGGGCTTGAATGCAATCACTGATCAATGTGAGCCTCAGATTGCCCATCGTATTTTACAGTGACTTCATTCTGAATGTTTAAACATGTGGGATTAAGCATCTTCTCGTTTATAAGGTACAGCACAGATGAGTGCACATTATAACCATGCCTGAACTCACCAGCCAGAACATCCACGTTCTATAAAGTACTTCCATCTGCAATTCTGCAACTGGCATTGGTTCAAGTCACCAGTAATGGAATAATTATGCTCTTCTCTTTGAATTAGCAGTTCTGAAGATCAAACATTTCTGCTGTTTCTGCCGCAATGGCTGATCAGTGAATCCATTCTCATTTGCTAGTGTTGGAAGAAAATTCCAGTCCGGTTCCAATCTGGGAGAAATAAAATGGAGGCAGGCTGCAGGAAAGAAGGTCTCTGTTTATATGGTAGCCAGAAACTTCAGGGACAGCAGCCTGTTTCTGGGGGGGACTGACAAAATGGGGTTTAGAGTAGATGGGCTTTTATACATTGTTTGGGGCTTTGTGATTGAGATGCCTGTTCCTGTGCAAGAATATGTCCTTCAATATTTTAATGGCAGTTGCCATAGTTCTATGAGGTCATGTAGGGGTTATGGCTGGCTCTACAGGCAAAAGGAGAAATGCACATCCTAGTTGTTTCCCTGAGCTAATCTTGTCAGCTTTAGCTTGCCTGTTGTGTTGCTTGTTTGGAGTCTCTTTGCTTATGAAAAGATTAGGCCAATCTTTCTGAATGGATACAAAATCTCCATTCCTAAAAACTAGTCAGTAGCCTCTTCAAGCTTCTGCTTGAAGCTGTTTTCCTATAACAGGAAGACAGCAGCTGCTGTCT